GGGGTAGGAGGTGGGCTCTGGGGACACACACGGTGAACTCTGGATGGGGTGGGGTAGGAGGTGGGCTCTGGGGACACACACGGTGGATTCTGGACGGGGTGGGGTGGGCAGTGGGCTCAGGGGGGCACCCACTGCTAGTCATAAGTGGGGAGAAGACTGGGGAGCACGCATGCAGTAGTGTGGTGTCTGTCAGTCCAACCACCTGAGATACCAAAAGGCTCAGGGAGGTTTTCGGTCAGCCAGCTCTGACCACAGTCTGGACCTTAGATGGTCTAGAAACGTCACCCCCAGTCCAGGCGGCTGCCCCAGAGAGGGTCCCAACACCAACACCACACAGAAACCTCACAGGTAGGTGGGGACACAGACCCTGAGGCCAGAAGACACTGGCTACAGCACAGTCATGGTCAGGGGTCTTCTGGCTGCCTCTCCAGGGATGGTCAGTGGACACCCCCAGTCCCCCTCTGTCCTTGGTACTGGGCATGACTTCAGAAACACAGCACAAGGTTGGTGGGCATGTGTGTAGCCCCAAAACACCAAGGGCAGGACAGGGCTGGGGGTCATCCTGCTCCATTGGTACTTGTCAAAAGTGGTTCTGACTCATAGCAACCCTGCACAGGGTTTCCGAGGCTGTAAATCTTTATGGGAGCAGAAAGCCTCATCTTTCTCCCATGGCTGGTAGTTTCGAACTAGCTGATTTTGTGGTTAGCAGCCCAACTCATAACCACTACACAACCAGCATGACCCCTATCTGAAGCTACTAGCCTCACAGACTGGGGTTTGGGAGCAAGGAGACAGGTTAGGGTTAGGGTGCAGAGCACAGAATTCAAACCTCACAGCACAGGGGACTGCAGGGACTTACCGAGCCAGCAGCACACCGCAGGTAGTCCATTTCTGAAGGAAACACATTTCCCAGGTAGAGTGAAAACCCCGAAGTTACCAGAAGGCAGCTCTACAAAACAGCAACGCCCAGTTAGGTTTAAAGCAGGATTGCAAGTGACGGTTAGGCCGCCAACTGCGAACCAGGACCCCTTGATTTCAGTGTGGCTGTATTTTGTAAAGCTGGTGCTTGGTCACCATTCCTCAGCGTCAAACCTGTCAGGATTCGGGAGCCTCTCAGGAAAGAGGGCTGCAGGCCCCCCACATCCCAGGTAACAGCCCCCTCCCCTAGGAGTTAAAGCAGTGAAGTTTAATAACGGGGGAGGGGCTGGAAATTGAAAACAAGAAGTGACATCTCCCCACTCCGAGAAAATGCCCACCCCCCAACATGTGCAATTTCAACCTGTCCGGCCCCCTCTGCAGAAGCTAACTCCTCAGAAAGATGCCAGGTACACCCCAGCCCAAAAGGGGCTCAGACCTGCCGGGTCTCCAGACTCCACCTTTGCGATCCCAGAATCCCTTCTCCACACACAGTGAGGGATGCTTTAAATTGAGGTTCGTCCATGTCCCACCTGTCCCTGGTGATGTGGCGCCCTCATGCAGTGACCCCCATCAGCCTACAAGGCCCTCACTGGACCCCTGCATCTCTCTGGTCGTGTTTCCACCCCTCCCCTTCTTGTCCCTTGACCCAAGGAAGGGTCGCTCCTTGGTCCCTCAAGCACGTTTGTGCCTCAGGGCCTCTGCACCTCTCGCTGCACACCTGCTTCTCCCATGGCTTTAACTGCCTCCAAGCACCCAAGCAGCATCTGGCACAGAGCTGGCACACAGGGCCAATCTCACCACAGCGCTGTGGCTGAGAGAGGGGGGCGGGGTTAGTGAGCAAAAATCAGGTATTTGTCACTCACAGGCACTAGCTACTGCTACATACAGCAGCCTCACACCTGCACACAAACCACGCACACCTGTACTAACATGTGCAAACCAGAGACAACCTCATGCTCACACACTAGCCACATGCACACACATTAATCATATATACAGTAAACACATGCACGTACGTTAACTATATGTACACACCAACCCACATGCACACATGCTAACCTCATACATACACTAACCACATGCACACACATACACACACATTAAATATATGTATGCATTAACCACACACACCCACACTAACCACATGCACACACACTAACCACATGCACACATGAACCAAGGACACACACACACACAAACACATGCACACACAATGACCACATGAGTGCACACTAATCACATGCACATGTGCTAATCACATGCACACATGAACCAAGCACACACTAACACAAGCACACACAATGACCACATGCACACACACTAACCATCTGCACACACTAACCACCTGCACACACACTACCAGATACACACATTAACCACACACACACAGTAACTACATGCACACACGCTAACCACACACACACACTAAGCACACACACACACCAACCACACATGAGCGCACTGACCGCACCCATGGTGGTTCCCCATGTAAGGCTGCACACTGCCTTTCTGCTGTGCTGACTGTCCACCCTGAGGATGCGTCATCATCCCAGGACCTGTAAGCAGGACGCCGGGTCCTTAACTACTGGGGGAGGCAGAGGGAGACTGAACTGGGGGTGCTTGTGATTGGGAAAAGTCTGGCCGACAGCCAGCTCCCTGCGCTGTCCCGGTCCCTGTGTGCTCCTTGACCTCCTCTATCTAGCATCCATGGCTCTGTTTCCTGGCCCTACATACAACACCTGTATCCTACAAAGTCTGACCCATCTGTCTGACAGGGGAGCTGGGCTGCAAAGTCCTGACCCACCCCAGGATTGGACATCGAGTCAGACAATGGGAACTGGACAGGGTAGGAGTCCCCAACGCTGGACACAAGCATGGAGATTGGACTGAGGAGTGGGACCCAGTGCCTGCAGAGAGATGGGGAGCAGGGGGCTAAGGTGTCATCTTTATTCTGAGCAACACTGAGAATGCAAGTAGAGAATGCAAGATTGTGGTCTGCCACCTCACCTAGCACCCCAACACTGCGTCTGGCACCACTGCCCAGCACCCCCACCCTATGGCCCCTTCATCACTTGCTGTCTTCACCTCTGCCCTCCCCAACCTTGACCCTCGCTCATTTAAATGAGGAAGGGCCAGTGTGCTAGGGCAGGGGGAGGACCCTACCGAAGCACCACCACCCTTAGCAGAAGGGCAAGAGGCAGAGCTCACCTACCTCCAGCAAGGAGGGGGAGGGGCAGGCAGAGCGGCTGGGGGCGTGGGAGCTATGATGGTAGCAAGAGAGGGGTGTCCCATCCAGACTCTAAGTGTCCCCTGAAGTGAAGGGTCCTGCTAGCAAAGCGGTAAATCCAGCAGCCTGAGGACCCTCTGTGCCCTCCAGTGATGAGCATGTGCGGATGGTGGGCAGCTGTCCCCCTGACCCACGGTGAGTATCCTCAGGACTGCGTTCTGCTGGTCACCTGCAGCTTCCCAGCCCCTCTCCTCCCCCACCTTTACAGTGGGTACCATGCCGCTGCCGTGGGGGAGACTCCCGACCACCCTACAGACATCTGTAAAGCCTGTGGACCACCTTCTGCCTTCTGGAGCAGGGGTCCTCAAGGCAGCACAGAGTCAGAGCAATAATACTGATGAGTGGAGGAAACCAATGTCAAATCTCCAGAATACAATGAGCACATGCCATCTGCTCTGTGAGGCCTCCCGACAGTGGGAATGAACCGAACTCCAGGCAGATGAGCATCTGTGGCCCCTGGGGTGCACAGGTGTGTCTGAGGGGGGTAAGGATGCTCCAGGTCCCCCACCCCACGGTGCTGACAACTGTCCCCATGTGGAGTCACTCACCCCCATCACCATGGAGAAGACCCAGGTCTTAGAGCTGAAGCAGGGTGGGAGCCTCTTGGACAGCTGCAGGTCGTTGGTCTTGACGTCAGGGCTGTAGCTCGGGGCATCTGGCCTGCCCCGCTCCAGGGTGGGCATTCGGTCATAGCTGAACTCCTCGTGGTACGGTTCCTCCCGTGTCATGGTGCCAGCCAGAACTGGACAGCCACTCAGGCCAACGCGTCTCAGTTAGAGGCTAGAAAGCGGGCATTTAGCCTCTACCACGCTTAACAACAACAACAACAACGCTAGAAAAAGTCCAGTTAAGATACCCACTGCTGTCCAGTCTATTGCAACTCACAGTGACCCTAAAAGAAGGAGTCAATGTGCCCCATAGGGTTTCTGAAGCTGTAAATCTTTATGGATGCAGACTGCTGAGTCTTTCTCCCTCAGAGAAGCTGGTGATTTTGAACTGCCTAACTTTCAGTTAGCAACCCAATGCTTAACCTACTGTGCCACTAGGGCTCCTTCTACATCTGAGATAAATATCTGCTTTTTATATTGTGGAAGACCCCCAGCGAGATGGATTGGCAAAGCGGCAGCATCTATCGGCTCAAGCTTGGCAACAATTGTGAGGTTAGCCCAGGACCGGGCAGTGTTTCGTTCTGTTGTGCAGAGGGTTGCTATGAGTCGGTACCGACCCGATGGCACCTGACAACAACAACAACATACACATAAAAACATTCACCAGCACATCAGCATTTCGCTCAGTGGCATGGGTTCTGTTTCCCATAATGTACCACCATTCTTGCTATCCATCTCCTTTCATGACAACTTAACACTCCCTAAGTAGTTCTGTGCCCCTCCCACCCTCCTGGGACAAATACTTTTTAAAAAAGAAATAAAGAACTACACAATTGAAGAAGGAAAAAAAAAAACATTTCATGCTAAAAGCAGATAAAATCACTCCCCCAGCAAAACCAGCTTGGTGGGAGGGGGTCTTACTTCAGGAGGTGGGCTCAGGCTTTAAGCAACTCGATGGCTCATAACCACAACAACCTGTATTCAGGTTTCTATCGATGCCAACGGTCACCCCCACGAACAACGCCACTAATGAGCTCCCTGCCCTGGGGATTGCTCAAAACATCATAAACACGTCAAGGCAGTGCCACAGACTATAGGTGCCACACAGGCACCAGCTTTTCCAAGGTTGGACACCTGTGAGCTTACCTTTGAGGGTTCCAGTTTGAGGGAGCAGTTCTCCGGGTAAGGGCTCGCAGCTACCAAGCCATCCTGCCCTGGGCGGCTCACAAACACTATTCACAAGTGGAACAAAAGCCCAGAAAAACTGCTCTTAAGCCAGGACTGCACGGCTTGCCTGATGAATTCTAATGAGGCACCGAAGCTGCCAATCCCCCGAGACCCCCTGTTGGTCAGTAGCTGTTGGCTCAGGAGCTGCTCCACGTTCGTTCCCCTGTGGAAACTCTCCCAGGGACCTGCTCAGATCTGCTCGCAGGTGTCTAGATGATTTGCAGTAAGGAAGAGGTGACCCTAGCAATAAAGTCCCCCTGGGGACAAGGCCCGAGCAGGCCAGACTACTGGACCCTCGCTCAGCTATGAAGCAAGTGGCATTGTACCAAAGGGCATAACTCGGCCTTGTTCCCAAGCAGCCTTCTCCCGTTTCCCAGTTTCCCAGTGACCATGAGAGGACCAGCTGCTTCACGGGAGAAAAATGAGGCTTTCTACTCCCGTAAAGATTTACACCCTCGGAAACCCTATACAGGGTCACTATGGGTCGGAACCAACTCGATGGCACACAACAACAACAACGAGAGGACAGTGATCTTCAGAGAGCTCCTAAACATTTGCACATTTGCCTTGGCAGTGAGCGTGGCCTTGAGCAGCTCAAAGTTCCGACCCCCTGGCCTTCCGGTAGGCCGTCCTGGTGGCTGGTTGGCATCTCGCCCAGATTCTGGCACCCTGTCAGCTACAGCAACACATTCTTTTGTGCTCATTGTGACTATAAAGCAACTCAGACCAAAGTCTTCTAGACAAACAACTCCCAAACCAGGATCCCACGTGAAGCTTCCGCAGCGCTGCGGCACTTCAGATCATGAGCTGGTCTGTCTTATTATTTCAGCCAAGAAGAATGAGAAATCATTTTCACAAGCAATAACCTGTTAAGTCAAGAGTTATATGCAATACATTAAAGCACACTCCCAACTTCTTCACTGACTGTCTTTGAGAGCAATGAAATGAAGTGTTTTGCTTTCTGTTTGCAGAAAAACACTGTTGAGCGGGTTTCACTATTGTCGTACCTTTCAGGAGTTTTCCTCAACAAGAAATGAAAGACAGCTTGAATCCGAGATTGTAGTTCACATTCTTCCAGTCAATTCCTTGTTTCTCTTGGCAATTCGACTTTTCTAGAACAAAGACTGTTTTTTCATCCTTCCTTTAAACTCTTCTAGCCTCTTGTCGTTGGGTCAGTTCCGACCCACAGTGACCTTGTGTAACAGAATGAAGTATCACTTGGCCCTGTCACCATCTTCATGATTCTCGCATCTAAATAAGCTATTTTCTTAAGGAGCCCTGGTGGAGCAGAGGTTAAAGACCCAGGCTGATAATCGAAAGGTTGGTGGTTCGAACCTACCAGCTGCTCCAAGGGAGAAAAAGATGTGGCAGGGTGCTTCAGTAAAGATTCAGTCCTGGCGACCCTGTGGGTCCATCCTACCCCGTCCTGAGGTTTGCTTGCAGTTGGCATCCACTCGACTGAAGTGGGTTTTGGTTCATTTTCCACAAACATCGTTTGCTCCCATCCCTGTCTACCATGAGGTCCTGTGTGTGCTTTGACATTCTGGAAACTAGCCAGCCAGGGTTTCTGGAATATTCACTATCTGCCCGATGCCTTCCAAGGCAAGCGGAGTCCTGCCCACATGGAGTGCCTTCTAACAGGGGGACAGGAGCACCAGGTCAGACAGTGTGTGAGTGACGCGGCGTTTAGGTTCAATTATGTCCCCAAAAACAATATACTAAAGTCTGAACTCCTGTACCGTGAGTGTGCTCTCACTCTACAATTGGGTTGTTAAAGACGCCACCATGTAACATGAGGTCATGCTGGAGGCCCTGACCCCATTTGGATAGTTGTTCTTCGGTGCCCTCAAGTCTCTCCCGACCCTGTGCACAACAGAACGAAACACTGCCCACTCTTGTGCCATCCACGTGATCCTTATCATGTCTGAGCCCATTGTTGCAAACACTTTATTAGAGCAGTGTTCTTATCAAAGAGGAAAAGAAACACAGAGAGACAGAAGTCAGCCACACAGAGAAGATGGAGAGGGCGCGTTGTGGCCACAAGCCAAGGGATACCTGGAACCACCAGAAGCTGGAAGAGACAAGAATCCTGCCCCAGAACCTTCAGAGGGAACATGGCCCAGCTGCCTCCCTGGATTCAGACTTCTGGTCTCCAGAAGTGAGCGAGAGTATACATTTTTCTTGTTGTCCACTGTGTGGTACTTTGTTACGGCAGCCACGGGAAATGGATGCATCTAGAAACACATTTGATTTTCTCTAGGACAAAACAGAAACCAGGAGAAGGGATGGGTGTTGTTTGGGGGCATCAGGGTAGGTCTCTGATGTAAAAACTTGGAGAAGATGAAGGACAAGCCTGGCAGAAAGCTGATGTGGGGCTGCAGGCCTGGCAGTATGGGCCACCTGGTGTGGCTGTGGGCGGGGGCTGGAGGAAGGTGGGCACAAGGTAATACCAGATGCAGTGGGGGCAGAGAAATGGTGAACACTGGGCAGTCTGGCACTGCAATTAAGCGGCAACCTTGTCTTTGTTCTGCGATGGAGCCACTGAGGTCTCTGAATAGACCTGGGAGGAGCAGCACAGGCGGCAGGTGTCCGTCCCGGGCTGGGGTGGCAGCGGTTTGACTGGATTCTGGAGTACATTGAAGTGGGAAGGGAGAGGGGACAAGTGTTCAGTGACACCCGTTTTCTGCCTACTCCCTAAGGACGGAGCTGTGTATGTACCTGTGAGGGGTGGCGTAGGGGTGAAGCAGGTATGGATCAAGGGCCAGGTTAGGTTGAGAAGTGTGAGGTATCCATGGGGGTCTGTGAATCAGCTGACTGCAGGATCCTGACTCCAGGAGAGAAGCTTAGGCTGGGGAGCAGTGGCTAACCCTACAACCACGACTCCCCTAGCTACTTCTTCTCAGGGCCTTGAAGCAGAGTGAAGACACCCAGCGCTCGGTGTTTTCAGGATGCCTCTGCTCGCCGCCACACTCTTCAGTTCCTGGGACCGTTCAAATCTATGTGTGAATTCCTACAACAGTCCCTTAGTCCTGGAACTGTTTTATCTACTGCAGTTTGTGGTGGCCCCGTGTGTCAAACAACTACCAGAGGTTCAAGCAAGACTGACATGAGGACTTGGAATGAGGGTGCTCACTGATGACGTCATAGGACTCGTAAATGAAAGCAGAGAGCACCCAAAAGGTATTTACTTGTGCTTTATTAACTATGCAAAGTCTTTTCAGCTGTGTGGATCATGATAAACTATAGGCAACACTGCGGAGAATGGATATTTCAGAACACTTCATCGTGCTCATGAGGAACGTGCACATTGACTAAGACAGAGTCATTCAAACAGAACAAGGGGACACTGAATGGTTTTAAACTGCAGTCCAGTGCTTATCCTACAGCACCACACCAAGACTCAATCCAAGGCATAGTGAGCTGAAATGGGCTGGTATTGACCATTTTGAATAAGACAGTCTTGTGGCTTACTATGCTGGAAACAACAAATTCAAGAGGCATGGTGTAGCATTCATCATCAAGAAGAGCATCTCACAATCTGTCTTGAAATACAATGCTGTCTGTAATAGGATAATATCCATAAATCTACAAGGAATATCAGCTTATAATAGCACTATTACTCAAATTTACATACCAACCACGAAAGCCAATAATGACAAAATTAAACAATTCTACCAACTTCTCCAGTCTGAAATTGATGAAACATGCAATCAAGATACATTGATTCTGGTGAATGGAACACGAAGGCTGGAAACAAAGAGGAAGGATCAGTATTTGGAAAATATGGCCTTGGTGATGCTACAGATCACATGACACAATTTTGCAAGACCAGTAACTTCATTGCAAATACCTTTCTTAAACAACATAAAAGACAACTATACACAAGGACCTCA